ACCAGGATGGTCTCGATCTCTTGACCTTGTGATCCACCTGCCTCGGCCTCCCACAGTGCTGGGATTACAGGCTTGAGCCACTGCGCCCGGCCCCCTATATTTATTCTTAAACAAATGTTACTGAGATAAAATGGACATACAGTATTCAAAGTATAAAATTAGATAACTTTCTTTTGGTTTTTGTTTTTTTGTTTTTGAGATAAAGTTTCACACCGTTGCCCAGCCTGGAGTGCAGTGGCGCACAATCTCAGCTCATTGCAACTTCTGCCTCTTGGCTTTAAGCAGTTCTCTTGCCTCAGCCTCTGTAATCTCCACCTCCCGGGCTCAAACAGTTCTGCCTCAGCCTCCTGAGTAGCTGGGATTACAGGCGCCTGCAACCACATCCAGCTTTTTTTTTGGGTAGAGATCGGATTTCACCATGTTGTCCAGGCTGGTCTTGAACTCCGGACCTCAGGTGATCCACCTGCCTTGGTCTCCCAAAGTGCTGGGATTACAGGCGTGAGCCACTGTGCCCAGCGAGCTTTTGACCTATGTATATACATCTGCAACCATTACCACAAAATTATGAATATATCTGTCATCTCCAAAAGTTTCTTCAGGTCCTTTTGTAATTAATTCCAGGCAACTGCTGATGTGCTTTTTGTCACTCATAGATTACTTTGGATTTTGTAGAATTTTATCTAAATGGAATTATACAATATGTACTCTTTTTTCGTCTGGCTTCTTGTCCTTTGTATTTCCATATGAATTTAAAAATCAGATTATCAAACAGACAGCTGGTATTTTTATTGGGATTGTGCTGAATCTGTAGATTAGGAGAGAATTGACTTAACAATATCGAATCTTTTAACCCATGAACATGCTTTGTTTCTCTGCTTACTTAGATCATCTTTCATTTCTGTGAAGTTCTTATGCATCTTTTGTCAAATTTATCATTAGGTATTCCATATTTTAAGCAATTATAAGTGGTATTATTTTTCATTTCTGATTATTTACAGTATATATAAATATAGCAGATTTTGTATATTGATCTTTTATCCTGCAGCCTTGCTAACTCCTATTCCAGTAGCTTTATTGTAGATTCTGTTGTATTTTCTGGAGATACTCATGTTGTTCATGAATAAAGACAACTTGCCTTATTCCACTGGGCTGGAACTTTCAGTACAATTTTGAATAGAAGGGAAAATCGCAGACATTCTTGCCTCGTTCCTGATCTTAGAATAGTTTTGTCTTTACTGTTAACTGTTGTTTTAGCTTTAGGTTTGTCATAGATACCCTTTATCAACTGAAGAATGTGTCCTATTCCTAGTTTGCTAGAAGTTTTATATTTATTTGTTTGTTTGTTTTTATTGAGACAGGGTTTCACCATGTTGGTCAGACTGGTCTTGAACTCCTGACCTCAGGTAATCCACCCACCTCAGCCTCCCAAAGTGCTGGGATTACAGGCGTGAGCCGCCGCTCCCGGCCTTGCTAAAAGTTTTTATCAAATGTTAAACTTTTGTCAAATGCGTTTTTTGTGTTTAATGAGGTGATTATATTTTTTTCTTGATTAGCCCATTAATGTAGTAACTTATATTGACTGATTTTCAGATTTAAACCAACTAAAATTCCTGAGATAAATGTTACTTGGTCATGTAGTATTTGCTCCATGCCCCCATTATTTAGAGAATATTAGTCTCTATTAGTATTTTTATATGTTGTTGTATTTGATTTGCTGAAATTTTAAGATGTATGCATCTATATTCATAAGGGGTATTAGTCTGTGGTTATCTTATAATGTCTTTGTCTGGTTTTGGTGGCAGGGTAATACTGACCTCATAGTTATGAGTTGGAAAGTATTCACTCCTCTTCAATTTTCTGGAATAAGTTGTGTAGAATTGTTATTATTTGTCTTATATGTTTGGCAGAATTCTCCAGTGAAGCCTCTGAACCTAGAATTTGTCAGAAGGTTTTAAATTATAAACTTAATTTTGCTAATAGATACAGGACTATTTAGGTTATCTATTTCTGAGTGACCTTTGGCAGTGTATATCTTTCAAAGAATTTTCAGTCTCTTCTAAGTACTCAAATTAATTGACATAAAAGTATTTATAATATTGCCTTATTTTTCTGATATCTGTAGAATCCATAGAAATGTCAACTTTCTCATTCCTGATGTTCGTAATTTGTGTCTTGTCTCTTTTTTTTTTTTCCTGGTTGGTCTGTCTATGGCTTTAATTTCATTGATCTCAAAAACTTGTGTATGTTTTTTGTTGGGTTTTTTTGGTTTTCTTTTTGAGAGACAGGGTCTTGCTCTGTTGCCCAGGCTGGAGTAGGGTAATACAAACATGGCTCACTGAAGCTTCGACCTCCTGGGCCCAAGTAGTCCTTGTACTTCAGCCAGTACCACAGACACATCACCATACCCAGCTAATTTTTAAATTTTTTGTAGAAACGGGGTCTCATCGTGTTGCCTAGGCTAGTCTTGAATCTCTGGATTCAAAACTCCTCTTGCCTTGGCTTCCCAAAGTGCTGGAATTAGAAACGTGAGCCACCATGCCTGGCCTTATGCATGGTTTTATACATTTTATCTCTTGTTTTCCAGTGGTTTTTTTTTTTTTATTAATTGAGTTTATTTTCGTCTTTATGATTGCCTTTCTTCTGGGTTTCATTTGCTTCTCTTTTTTTAATTTCTCAAGGTAGAATTTTTTTTTTTTTTTTTTTTTTTTGCACTTTAGGTTCTGGGGTACATGTGAAGAACATGCAGGATTGTTGCATAGGTACATACATGGCAATGTGGTTTGTTGCCTCTGTCCCCATCACTTATATCTGGCATTTCTCCCCATGATATCCCTCCCCAGTTTCCTACCCCTTGCTGTCCTTCCCTTAGTCCCCCCCAACAGACCCCAGTGTGTGATGTTCCCCTCCCTGTGGCCATGTGTTTTCATTGTTCAACACCCGCCTATGAGTAAGAACATGCAGTGTTTGATTTTCTGTTCTTGTGTCAGTTTGCTGAGAATGATGTTTTCCAGGTTCATCCATGTCCCTACAAAGGACACAAACTCGTTTTTAATGGCTGTACAGTATTCCATGGTGCATATGTGCCACATTTTCTTTATCCAGTCTATCATCAATGGGCATTTGGGTTGGTTTCAAGTCTTTGCTATTGTAAACAGTGCCACAGTGAACAAATGTGTGCATGTGTCTTTATAATAGAATGATTTATAATCCTTTGGGTATACACCCAGTAATGGGATTGTTGGGTCAAATGGAATTTCTATTTCTAGGTCCTTGAGGAATTGCCACACTGTCTTCCACAATGGTTGAACTAATTTACACTCCCATCAACAGTGTAAAAGTGTTCCTATTTCTCCACATCCTCTCTAGCATCTGTTGTCTCCAGATTTTTTAATGATTGCCATTCTAACTGGCATGAGATGGTATCTCAATGTAGTTTTGATTTGCATTTCTCTAATGAGCAGTGATGATGAGCATTTTTTCCTATGTTTTTTGGCCTCATATATGTCT